TCTTCCATAGAAGCTTGCTGGGGTGTCCCTGGGCCAGTGTCTCTCTCTCTCTTTCTCTGAGCCTAACCTACCTCACAACATGGTTGTAAGGATAAAATGAAGGAGGGGGAAGGCAATGTACTCTGCCCTGAGCTCCTTGGAGGAGGGTGGGGAGGGGCTAAAAAGCGCTAAATAAATGACTAGACTGTTCTCTGTTCTCATTAGGGTTGCTGACTGCCAGGTGGCATTCCTTGATCTCCTACTATTTACACTGGATCTCTATGTCATACATTCGCTGGTATTTTTCCTTTGCTGCATGTGCACATTGATCAAGTAAAAGGTGTCATGATGGTCACTGGAGTGAGTAGAGTTGCCAGGTCCTACCTGGCTGCCGGCAGGGAGACTCCCGATCCTTCCTGTAGTTCTTCTGGCGTGCACGTCACAATGACATCACCCAGAAGTTATGTCATTGTGTTTCTGAAGCTCTACGTTTTGGGCAAAACACTAGGTTTGTTTTTTTTTGTCTCAAAACCATAGAGTTTTGCCCAAAACCTAGAACGTCGCTCCTGATGTCAGAAACACAATGACATTACTCCCAGGTGATGTCATTGCACTAGCAGTGCCAGGAAGGGCAAGCCCATAGGGCCAGTGGGGCATTTTGGGGCCCCACCCCTTAATTAAACGCCCTGCCCCACAAATAGCCATGCCAGAACCCTTATTTTTGAGAAGAGACCCCTGCTGCTGGCGGCAACCAGGCTGAGAGCACCATGGCCTGCCCTCGGGCTTCTCTCTCCCTCCCAATGTGGGATTGGGGTGGGGCATCATGGGACCTGGGGGAAAAAACATATTTCCCAAAGGCTCATGGGGATGTTTTTGAAAGACTCCCGCTGACCTAGGTGGTATACAGCAGGACTGGGGAAGCAGAAAGGGGGGATGGCTGGAGAAGTGGTGAAGGTACCACTCTTGAGTGCCCTTCTAAGCTTTCCTGACCTGTAGAAGGGAACTCAAAAGGCATTTAAATGCCCTCTGAGCTGTTTTTTTCCTAGGAACTGACATGCTGCTGGCTACCCTGCCCTGTCCCTTGAAAGGAAGGGCTAGAAAAAGGCTCGCAGCCTCCCCCTTTAGAGACAGGCATTCAGGTTAATTTAATTAACTGTAATTTAACTGCCCCTTAAAAATTTAAATGCCCCCCGAACAAAAACATCCTGGCTACGGGCCTGAGGAGGGGGCTTCTCAGGGGAGGGGCTTCCTCTGCCGCCCAGCTGGGCCTCGGTGGATTGGTGGCCCCAAAATTGAGGGATCCCCTGGCCCCATGGGGGAATGGCAACCCTAGGAGTGAGTGAGAATCATAGGGGGGATTAGAGGAGGAGAAGGAGAGTATTGTGTAGTGGGTTGCCGCATGGATGGACGACAGAAACTGACGTAGTGCATAGCACGCTTTATTAGTACACAACAAGGACAAACAACAACGGCCGGCGGGCCAACTATATACACACCCTGGGGACACACTCCTGGGTCCCATTGGCAGGTTTGAATCTCCCGCCACGGTCCCATTGGTTCCCCAGTGGAGGGACTAGGATCCTAGTCCCTATTGTTATGCCGGGTTCAAGCTCAGGAGTGTGCGCTGGCCTCTGGTGGCGGTCAGCGGACACAACAGAGAGGGTGGTCAAAAGCTGGGATGTAATTTCCTTACTGCAGGCTGTGTATGTTGGAATCCCACTTGCTTGGGGTTCTTAGTGGGGGCGGCTGCACCCTTTGTGCAATGTTTGTTGGTTTCTCAAAAGCATCGGGTCAGCCACTGTAGAAAACGGAATGCTGAACTAGATGGGTGCCAAAGGTCATGGTTTGCCTAGGGCACCAAAAAACCTTGGGCCAAGAACGTTTGGACTTACGAGTCACCATACTGAAAAGGTTGGGAACCACTGCTATAAGGTACCTTAATATGAGGGTAACTTCACCAGGGGATTTGCTCTCCATCCTCAAACAGGGCAGAGGGGAAAGCTGGGTGGGAATTCTCGTTTCCCTTCTGTATGGTTCTAGAACGTTCCATTCAACACAGCCTGGTACTTTTAACACAGCCACTTAGATAGAAGAATAAAGACTATAACTTTCCCCTAGTCCTTCTGTATGGGACTATGTTTATTACTGGTGAGGCAAATACTCTTTGCACTGGACTGGGCATTTTTATGTATTCTTAGGATCGTACTGTGATACTGAAAATATTCCAAGGCTGAGGTCTGGTGAGCCCTACCACTAATTATGCCCTGCTGGATGGTTATCATCTGTTCAGACCAATTATCTTCTCCCCTTTTTTTTGGTTTTTGTTGTTCTTTGTAGCTGGAGATGAAGTCTCAGAACCGCCAGCTTGCCAAAACTCTGCTGGATTTAAGCACAGACATACAGAGACTGAGAAATGAAACCGAGATGACGCCGTCTTTAGAATCAAAGAACCCGTGCATTGCTGAAAGCTCAGAATGATTAAAAATATATATATACACCTGCATTTCAAGGCATACATTGTGAAAATCAGGGCCGGCTCACTCACTAGGCGAACTAGGCGATCGCCTAGAGCGGGACAGCCCTTAGGGGCACCAAACTGCACCCGGCCCCGTACTCTGGGAGTTTCTTATTTGTGTTTTTCATTCTTCCTAAAATGCATTTATTGTTGAAAGTTAGTGGGCACACGGGGGGAAGGGGCAGAAGGGATCCTCGCCTAGGGTGCAAGATAAGCTGGAGCCGGCCCTGGTGAAAATGCTACACGGATCACCATTCGGACAAAAATGGAGAAATTATGCTGCTCGGTTAGATCCAGTGCAGTAGCAGGATGTGACTTGAATGCTATTCCACACCCCTTAAACTTGAAAATCTCTGGTTAACTTTGTGGGCGGGAGGTATTTATAAATTAGGTTTTAGTGCTAACTGTGGAGTCACAGCCAAAGTGGAGAAGAGTTTTCAAACAGCTACAAATGCAATCTGTGCCACTTTCATTGCCTTAGCAGTCAGAATTCATCCCTAATTTTTTTGATCACCCATCAACTTCAGTTCTCAAGTGCTTCAGTGCTTTATGGTGCATACTGGAAAATGATGACCATGCTGTGGAATATTTCTTTTATTTTTTAAAATTGACATTTGTAATAGTATTTTAGGTTTTAAGGTAGACACAATTAAATTGCAGGAATGATGTGAAATAATGAATACACTTAGGGTTGCCAAGTGTCCCCGGGGGGGGGGGGTTACCCGCTCGATGGGTCCCTTACCTGCCAGCCCGGATTAGGCTGCCGGGGGAACCCCACCCCCAAAGTGCCGGGATCGTGGAGACATGCCCGGCGTGATGACATCACCCAGAGGTGACGTCATCATGCGGGCACGTTGCGGGGGGGACATTCTATCATTTGAGGGAAAACTCTATGGTTTCCCCTCAAATGATAGTGGTCCCACCCCCAACATGCCCGACACGATGACATCACTTCGCGGCGTGCGCCCGAAGAGGGCCAGGACTCCCCCCGCTGCAGCCATAGGTAAGACTTGGCAACCCTAAATACACCACATACTGGGGGTGGGACCAGTGTTCCCTCTAAGCTGTGGAGTCTTGTGAGCAAAAACTCTACTCTGTGAGCTACTGGCATTAAAGTTGTGAGCGAGCGATTTGGCTACTGCATAAATCAGTGTGCTCTGGAGCCATCTTTCCTGAGCTAAGACAAAAATCTGTGAGCTAGAGACTAAAAAACTGTGAGCTAGCTCACACTAACTCAGCTTAGAGGGAACACTGGGTGTGACCGTATACAAATTCAATGGACCTAAAATATTAAACCTTCTTCAGCCATCTGCATACATGAGGTATGGTGTCAATGGTGTGCTGATGCCAGCCAAGTCCTTGTTTTTCATTGACTTCACAACAGATTTTGGCCTCATTTGAATGTCCCTATGCTGTTCCTGGCTGGGGATCTGAAGCATAATCCCAAACAGATTCGAGGAAATTATGGATAGAAGACCATGCGTTGTGATATTAGAGAAATATATCTGTGCTGCTGTGGGGGGGGGGAATCACATGCTTCCAGAAGAAATAGATAGCTGGCTGGAAGCACTGCTTGACTCGAGTTCACTCCTCAAAGTTAGTTAAGCCCGAGCCAAGAATGCTTTCTATCAGTTATAGCTGAGGTCCAAACTGGATGTGGCAGCCACAGAAAAATGCCTTTGAGGGCCTGCCCTGTCAGACTCTGGATTTCTCAGCAAACCAAGGAGCTGGCCCACTCATTACCCTGTCTGTACCCCACATCTCCAGTCCTCCACCAGTCACCGCTGAACAGCCGAGCAGCGGGTGGGGTTGTTTTCCATGCCTGGCCACCAATCAGCTGTGGGATGGGAAAGGCCTCACAGGGTCCAAGCACCATCATGGCCTGTGGGCCGGTTGCTAACTCCACCCCCCCGAAAAAATTGGAGTGCCTGGTTGGACCGTTGGGGTCAGGGGCCTTGCCCACTTCCCCAACAGCCCAATCCATACAAGGTAAGACGCACAGAGTCCACATTTAAGAACAAAAGAAGTTCGTAGGTGGGGGGAGGGGAAACGAAAGCTCACCCTTAAGGTTGCCGACCTCCAGGTGGTGACTGAAGATCTCCTGGGATTACAACCAATCTCCAGGCAACAGAGATCAGTTCGCCTGGAGAAAATGGCCGCTTTGGAGTCCCTCCCCTCCCCAAGCCCCACCCTCCTCAGGCTCCACTCCAAATCTCCAGGGATTTCCCAGCCTGGAACTGGCAACCCTACTTGTCCTTCCCACCCACTACTTACTTCCTCGCAGTTGTCCCCAATCATCTTCCAGAGGTCATTTCGGGGGGATCGCAGTTCCCCCGGGTGAGGTACGGGGGGGCGGGGCACATGATGAAGCCCTGCCCCCTGCTTCCAGCCACCCCGCTTCCGGCCCTCATTCAGCCAGGAGGAGGCAGGAGAAGAGGGAGGGTAAGTTGCTTCCTCCCTGCCTCTCCCCCCCCTGCCTGCCTGGGGCCAGGGAGGGCCTTGGCGGGGCTTCCTCGCACTCCCGCCGGCCTTGCAGGTCCACCGCTGGGCCCCTCATGGGGCTCGGCAGTGGAGCTGCAAGGCCGGCGCTGGCGGCCGGGACCGTTGGGGGTGGGGTGTGTGGCCTTATGACACACTTCCGGTGATGTCAGGGGGTGTGGCATATGATAATAAGTTATGCTAATGGGTTCCCCTAGCTCTTTTTCTACGAAACGACCCCTGTCATCTTCCTTCAGCTGTCGTCCAATATCTGAAGCGGACCCAGCTGTGTGAACAGTGCCTGTGGGGAGGGAAGCGGCAGGGTAGGGTTTCATCTGTGTGCTTCTTTTTCAGACCTGGACTTAAAGCACAGGGCTGCTATCATCATGTGTATTTTGACCTTGGAAAGTCAACTGTGTCGCTGCCTGGAATAAATCCATGGGCTGGCTAATGCAAAGTGCCCTGTGGGAGGCTCCCCTTGGAGAAATACTCGGAAAACCCAATTGGGGCAACGTGACAGTGTAAGGGCTTGGTACCCAAATATTCAAGGGCTGAGGGATATTTGTAAAAGAAGATGGAGGATGCCTTTCACTCAGAATCTCAGAGCAGCTTACAATCTCCTTCCCATCCTCTCCCCACAGCAGATACTCTGTGAGGTAGGCGGTGCTGAAAGAGCTCTCCCAAGAACTGCTTGAGAGAACAGCTCTAAGAGAACTGTGTCTGGCCCAAGGTCATTCAGCTGGCTACCTGTGGAGGAGTGGGGAATCAAACCCGGTTCTCCAGATCAGAGTTCACTGCTCTTAACCACTACACCAGGTCCTGTAAAGGGCACATATCTACTCAACCCTTGCCTCACAACCACTTTTCTCTCAGCAAGGCCTACTTCACATTTTGAAGTAAAAGGACCATGTAGTAGGTGAAGTGACGATCTATACCTGAGACCCTGGACAGGTGCTACCAATCAGATTAATAGTGCTCAAGGCAGCATACCTGTTTCTCCCCGTCCGCTCGTCTATTGTATCTCCACAACAATGCTGTGAGATAGGTTAGCTAAGAGAGAGCTCAGGGTCACCCAGTGAGTTTCATGATGAGCTAGGATTTGAACATGGGTCTCACCTAGCCACTACAGTATTAAACCCCTTCAGTGGTTTTATTTTATTCAAATGCTTATAGCCTGTCCTCTTTCCTGAGACTCCAACTAGATTACACAGTGCAGAAAAATACAGTCAAATAGCATGAGAGAGCCAATAAACAATGTGATAGGACTAAGATTTTAAAAATTAGAAACTGCCAAAAAACTATCATACATGCTGTGTCATAAAGAAGGAAAAAATTGAATTGGAAAATTAGAAATCAATGTAGTAAGAACAAAATAATACATTCAATGAACAATGGATACAAGTTTAAGCAGATACAAGATCAGGTGAGAAAAAATGGGAAGAAGTAATGGGAATGATTATGGCTTTTCTTGTCGTTGTTTTAAATCAGTGAAGAGAAGTGTGAAATAAATCCCTGCTAAGAGTTCTGTGTGCATTTTCACACCAATGTGCCAACCTTCAGAAGAAAACCCTTTTGTTCAGAGACAGACACACAAGAAACCCATGGGGCAGGAAGCCCCATTTGTCACGCGTTAATGGTGAAATACGTCTGCAGATAAACTTTTTAATTAAAATACTTCCTCTCACCCTACAGCTGGTGGGGGGGGTAGGGCCGAGGAATGACAGCATTCGCAACAGCGAGCTAGGAGGGTGCTAAACACTGCTGGTTATAAAACAGCGTTAAATCTGGGCAAAGGCTGGTTTATAGTCACCATCATGGGGATTATACGTAAATGATACTGTTTTTTAAAAATGCACTGCCGCTGAGCTCCAGAATGCCAAGAAGATGGAGCCAGTGAAGCTTGCAGTTACCCATCCATTTACACACACCAGGGGCATGGAACCATTCTTCTTCTAATAACAAAGGCCCTAATCTAGAAATCAGCTTTGCCTGCCAGCCCATTACATTCCGTTTCTGTACAACACACTCCGAGCAAACTTTGCCAGAGATATTGTCTTGCATTCCAATATTCTGAGTATTTTGAGCTGTATGTCAGGGTTGCCAGGTCTGGGTTGGAAAATACCTGGAGACTTTGGGGGTGGATCCGGGAGAGGGTGGGGTTTGGGGAGGGGAGGGGCCTCAGCATGGTACAGTGCCATAGAGTCCACCCTCAAAGCAGCGATTGCCTCCAGGGAAGCTGATCTCTGTCAGCTGGAGATCAGGTGTAAAAGCGGGATATCTCCAGGCCCTGCCTGGAGGCTGGCAGCACTATCCAGGTGGCAACTGGAGTTTTCCTGGGATTACAACTGATCTCCAGAATACAGAGATCAGTGTCCCCTGGAGGAAATGGCCAATTCAGCTGGTAGATTCTAGGACATCTTATTCCATCTGAGTTCCCTTCCCTCTCCGGACTCCACCATCACCAAGCACCACCCCCAAATCTCAA